TGACTTATAGGCTACATGATCTCAAAAAGCAGCACATTTTGCCTTGTTCTACATAAACTCAAGGCCAAAGATACCCAGAACAATGTCTAAAACATTACAAGTATGGAAGTTTGTTTTGATTGATTTATCATTATTATCGACCAATATTGGCATTAACATTTATTACTGGAACATATATGTTTTGGTTTTCAGTCTTTCATGACACAACCTTTGCATATCATACACATTGCAGATCAAACCCTGAAGCTACTTCTTCTCTGTCTCAAAATGTCAAACTATCACAGATCTGGGGTAAGGCTTTTGAGATATTTGAGTTTATTTGACACCACTTGTGAAGTAGAAATTTGCCCTGTCCTTGCTCTGTCCTCACATGTGTGTAGCTACATGTGTGTAGCTAGAACGCTAGCAACTAAAACAAAAACCACAATCTTTGCTTAGCATCACGCTTAAGGAGAATGAGATTCGGTGGCTGTTAAACATGGCACTTTTCCTATTAATAACTTAAATGGAAGTAGTTGTAATTTTGCACAGAAAATGTTTAACATTTAAGCTTGTGTTTTTTCTGTTTATTTATTCTGATTTATTTACTGTATCTTAAACAGAGCCGGCCCAAGGCATATGCAAACCAAGTGACTGCTTTGTTTTTATACATTTAAATATTACCGACTAAATAATATTTCACATAGAAAATAAGCAATGTATCCATGTTATTTTCTGTAGTGTCATTTAGTTTTATTTTGTGGTGCAGCACACTTTAAACCTGTTTCAATTTATAAGAACAAAAGATAGTAAGCCTAACTTCCATGCTGTAAATTCAATGTATTTCTGCGGATGTTTCTGTCAAATAGCAACATTGATATACAACATTTAAATGGCACTATATTTCAAAATGCAAACTAACTGGAGTGTTTTTGTTGGGTTGCTGCTCCGATAAAGTTCAAATCAATATCAGTAATAATGCGAAATTGTTGATAGCTAATTGCAAAAGATGCTAATGATTGTGGACATGTTGCACAAATAATGCAGCTTAGGAAAGATTAATCATCTGGTGTTGGTATGGGGGGCCGCCAAGGAAAACATGTTTAGGGCCCCACAAAAGCTTGAGCCGGCCCTGATCTTAAACCTGCTTTTATTGTACAGCACTTTGGTCAGCTCTCATACTTTAGAAAAAACAGGTCATGGTGTGGTGTTCTGTGACTGTGTTTGAGTTCAAAACCTAGCTTGCTCTGTAGATTTGCTATAACAGCTTTAAATGTAACTAACCTTCAACTAAGAGTGGGACAACATTTCTCCATGGTAACATGAGAGGCTGATTACAATTATCACAATTTCTTGCAGCAGAAGTTTTAGAACTAGTTAGTAGTTTTAGACATCGATTAGTTTATTACTGTTTGTCCAGGATGGTTTGGAAAGATTTTTTTTTCTTTTTATGAATAAAAACAATATTGACACAAAAGACTCCTAAAGAAATAAAGGGAAAACTATTTTTCACAGCTGATAAGATATTTATATTCAGATAAACATGATTTGAGCATTTAAAAACAAAACAGCCATGTGGTGATGAATACAACGATACTGCTCCAAAGGGTTCTGCAAGAACCAAATAACTGCAAATTCTTGAACATCTAATTTAACTCCTTTCCACTATAGATTTTCCACTGATGGGGATAAAGAACATGGGTCTCATTTATCAAACATTGCATAGAATCCTTACTAAAACTGTACTTAAGCTCAGAAAAAACATGTACTAACGCCAAGTAGGTTTGCGATCTATCAAACATGGAGTACACACAGCTGCACGCAATCTCTGCTTCATAAATCAGAAACTATGTGGCCCCCCGGGGCGATCCTCTGTGCCTCTCGAGGGGGACGGGGGTCTTTCTGGTTGCAGTCTCCTTGGGGTTCCTGTGTTCTGGGGCAGCGCCTGGATCTCTGGGACTTGGAGCTCCCCCCGTCTCCTGCGCATCTTTGGGGGGCGGATCTGTGGTCCCTCACACTCTCTATTGGGCGCTCCTATAGAGAAACCTTACATAAGCAAGCGCGTGTACACACACAGGTGCTCACATGGTGCTCTCAAAAGTATGGGCTTCGGCACGTTAAACACAGGTCTTAAGACTATGGTGGGCACTTAATGCACTGTGATTTATTATCGTGATTCTTCAGTTAAGCAATGTTGATTTTTTTTTTCATCAAGTTGACGCAGTGGTAGCTTGATCTTGTTGTATTGTTGTTGTGTCCCTTTTTTTTGTCCTTTTGCTTTTTTTTTTGTCTTTTTCTGCAGGTCTAGAAGCAGACTCTTGTTCATTGTTTATTTTTGTGGAACACCCCCCCCCCCCCTCTCTCTCTCTCCCCACCTTTTCTTTTCCTTTCTCTTTCACCTCTGTCTCCGTGTCTGGTTGGAATTACAAAGCATTCAACAAAAATAACAATAAAGTTTTAAGTATCAGGCGTGACATTAAAAGCAAACGCTTTGATACTCCACCTGAGCATAAATCTGTAAGGCTTGTCACCAGCATTCAGACATCAATTCTGCTTGCTTCACAGCCAGACAGGACACGGTAAAAAAATAAATAAATAAATAAATCGGAATTATCTAGAATGGTTCTCACCTGCATTTTAGTCACATCTCGCCTTCACCACGCCCACTGACTGCCATAAATAGTCAATGCAAAGTGCCTTGTGGATCTCATGCATATACATAAGCCGGCTGTTGCAGCGCTCCACCAATGACGATGGCGACCGTAGATCAAGGCAGATCAAGGAAGCGCAATTTCCCAGAAGCAGAAATTGAGGTACTTATGGGTGAGGTGGAGAAATGAAAGGAAGTGCTTTCGCAAAACAAATAAGAGAAAATCCACGGAGTGGCACAGCATTGCTGAAACTGTCAACGTTGTGAGTTCTTCAGAGAGATCTGTGGCGGGTATTAAAAAAAACAGTCCAATCGGGATTCGATCCCCAGACTCCCAGGTGAAAGTCACATGTGCTAGCCAGTCAGCCAAACAGAGATCTCCACTGTTCAAGTAGCCAGGGCGCATCATCAGTCGCGGACACACACACTGTCACAGACGCATGACGTTCTGTCTCAATCTGTCCCCCTGCTGATATTCTGCATTCCGTATTCTGCGCTTCAGGTTGTGTGTGTGTGTGTGTGTGTGTGTGTGTGTGTGTGTGTGTGTGTGTGTGTGTGTGTGTGTGTGTGTGTGTGTGTGTGTGTGTGTGTGTGTGCGCGCGCATGTGTGTGTACGCATGTGTGTGTGTGTGCGTGTGGGGGGTCTTGTTCTGTGTGAAAACGAAGCAGTACAAGTGATAATTCTGCAGGATTTCATAATTGTATCCTTCTCAGCAGCAGCACTGCAGGTGCTCTCCATGTCCAAAATGTGCGTAAGCCAGGTGCTTATTCAACTTAAAGTTGCGCACATTTTTCTGCTAAGTTTTCTTTGATAAATCCCAAAGTTTGCGTGGAAAGTTGCTTACGCAGTTTTCTGACCCCGTTTTGTGCGTAAGCAAACTTGATAAATGAGACCCCTGGGCTTTTGTTTACAAAATAAATAAATAAATAAATAAAGGCAATAATCAACCACATGCATGAGGTAATACACTAATGAGTTTTTAAAATTATTTGTGCAGACTGTTAAATTACTTTTTCTCTCTTTTCTGGGAAAATCTTTGTTATGTTTAAAGATGGATTACCCAGAGAGCATCCCTCCAGTGTTATCTCTTTAATTGAACTTAGCTGATGAACTTAAACCATCACTGTCCATGTGAAAAATGCAAACAGTCTGTAACTAATATGCTCACCAAACTGTATAAATTCCTTCTGTGGATAATTAATCACTTACATTATTTTCCACTCTTTGTTTGCAGCACTATTCCTGCTCTTTTTTTTTCTGTTGTTATGGAAAATATGCAAATATTGGTTACAATGTGGTGCAAGAAAGAGGAGATTAAATGTGGATTTCCATCATGACCACAGCGGGGATTCACACGAGGAGACGTTCTGCTTCTGGGCCTTCACACCAGGTGGTGCACTACATGTGCATTGTTTCAGCAAAGAGGTTAAATAAAACCTAATGTAACTGTCTGTTCCATATACATGTTACTTATTATAGATGAAACCGCATTAGTGTTAAAAGCTCCAAAAATATGGGCTAATCTTATCCCAGAGTTTTAAATCTAAAATAGTCAAGGACTGAGGGGTTGATAGTCCACTTTTGCCCTTGAATGAGAGAAAAAAAGCCCCAGAATGAAAATATGGGAGGGAGAGAGAGAGAGATAATCTCTTTTGTAATTTTTATCCCTAAATGTGGTTGTGGTCCCTTTATCCCAGCTACTTAGTTTCTGCACAGCATAAGTGATGCCATGCACTTAGGCTGTAAAAAGCAGGTCAATATGACCAGAGAAGAAGATACAAAAAGGGGAAAAAAACATGTGCATCACATGGATAGCCTTGGGATTATTCCTCACAAAATGTCTTAATTCCTCTGTTCACTAATGATCCAGGGAAAATGCCCTCTAATCTCCATTCCATTAATTAAAAAGAGCATGAGCCCATGGTAAACCTCACCATCTGCTGCTGTTTCATTTCTGCAGACAGATCGTGTTTTCAGTTTTTAACTGGGAGAGAGAGTGAGATAAAAAATAATAATAAGGGGTTTTTGGAGCCAAAGGGTGGAGCGCACTTTGACTTTGTTGATGAACAGATGCAAAAAGTCTGCTTCAGAATGAAGACCGTGATGTTTTTGCTGTGAATTTGAAACTTTGCCACCATATAGAATGAATATATCATCACCAGGTTAAAACTTCAAAGGTGTTTTATTATGAATTCATGCCATACTAATGAAAAATTTACTCCTCTTCTTTTTTCTTTCTTTTCCTTTTTTTGGAGGGGGGGGGATATGAGGATTTATTTCTAAGGAATATCTTAGTTGAATAGTTGAGCTCTTTTATGTGTGTGTGTGGGGGGGGGGGGGGGGGGGGGATAAATTTATACCTCAGTTGTAACTTCTCCGCACTTCTGTGCGCCAGATTAAATCCAGGACTTGCAGGAAGGTTCTGTTGGATTTGAGCTGAATTAGTTCAAATGATGCCAAACTCTCCTGAGAAATTGGATGCGGTCCTTTTGACCCGCAGGGTCAAAGCCCAGAGCCTGTGACACGAATTTGATCGGGCTACTCGGCAGGGGAGATTATCCGAGCAGATGTCACCCCTCCTCCGCCACCCCATCCCGCTCTCCTCTGGGGCCAATAATAAACACGCGCACAGGCAGACACGCGGGACGCACACAAATCTAAAGAGACAGACGTGCGCATTGCTTTCCCTCCTCTGTTTTCCACCAGGCAGACAGTTCCAACCTACGAACTTGTTTTCCCTCTCCACAGTGTCGGCACTTTGACTCGGTTCTGATTTACTTCTCACCTTTTGGACCGCGGATGGACGCTCGCGGAGCCAGGAGAGGACCGACATGGCTTGTGTGCCATTTTGTGTTGTTGACTTGTTTCTTGGATGCGGTCTGGGGACAGATCCGCTACTCAATCCCAGAAGAGCAGGAGCACGGGGCTTTTGTCGGGAACATCGCAGAGGACCTGGGCTTGGATGTGGACAAGCTCTCCGTGCGCAGGTTCCGGCTAGTTTCTGGCTCCAAGAAACAGTATGTGGAGGTGAATTTGGAAAACGGAGTTTTATTTGTCAACGAGAGGATTGATCGAGAGGAACTATGTGAGCAGAGTTCATCCTGTTCGTTTCACTTGCAAGTGGTGATTGAAAACCCTCTGGAGTTGTACAGGGTAGAGATTGAGATTTTGGATGTGAATGACAACTCCCCCACTTTCCCATGGACCGAGTTTAATTTGGACATATCTGAGTCTGCAGCGCCAGGTTCGCGTTTCCCACTGGAGAGCGCGCAGGACCTGGATGTTGGCTCCAACTCGCTGCGCACTTACCTGCTGAGCGTAAACGACCATTTCTATTTGGACATCCAGACGCGCAGCGATGGCAGCAAATTCGCAGAGCTGGTCCTCCAAACCCCGCTGGACAGAGAGCAGCAGAGTGCGCATCAGATGGTTCTGACGGCGGTGGACGGAGGCGCACCGGAGAGATCTGGCACGGCGCAAATCGATGTCACAGTTTTGGACGCGAACGACAACGCGCCGGTTTTTGATCAGTCCTTTTACCGAGTGCGGCTGGCCGAAAACGCACCCAAAGGAACTGTCATTATCAAACTCAACGCCTCCGACTTGGACGAGGGTCCAAATGCGGACATCATATACTCATTCAGCGGCCACGCGCCCATCAAAGTGCGCCAGCTGTTCAGCGTGGACCCGCACACGGGTGAGATCAAAGTTAAAGGCGTGATCGATTATGAGAAAGCCCGGATGCACGAAATCTACGTTCAGGCCAAAGATAAAGGTCCGTCCGCTGTGGCGGTTCACTGCAAAGTCCTGGTAAACGTGTTGGACAAGAACGACAACCTCCCAGAGGTGATTCTGACGTCGGTGTCCACACCTGTGCAGGAGGACGCCCCGCCGGGGACTGTCATAGCCGTGATCAGCGTCATGGACAAGGACTCTGGGGAAAATGGGAATGTGGACTGTGAGATCCCCCATCACGTCCCGTTTCAGCTCCACTCGTCCTTTAAGAACTACTACACTTTAGTCACTTCAGATTTTCTGGACAGGGAGACAGTAGCGGAGTACAACATCACCCTGACGGCCAGAGACATGGGCTCTCCACCTCTGTTCACCAGGAAAACTATAATTGTGCACGTGTCTGACGTGAACGACAACGCGCCCCATTTCAAACAGCCCTCATATTCGGTGTATCTGACTGAGAATAACGCACCAGGAGCGTCCGTTTGCTCCGTGACCGCGCTGGATCCAGACTCCGGCCAGAACGCGTATCTGTCCTATTCTATACAAGAAGGAGACATACAGGGGATGCCCGCGTCCACGTATGTGTCCATAAACTCGGACAACGGGAACATTTACGCGCTGCGGTCCTTCGATCACGAGCAGCTGAAGAACTTTCAGATCACAGTTCAGGCCCAGGACGCAGGGTTTCCTCCTCTGAAGAGCAACCTGTCAGTGAGCATCTTCATTCTGGACCAGAACGACAACGCGCCCGTGATCGTATCACCCGTTCCACAGCAGAACGGCACTGCGCCCAGCGAGGCTGTGCCCAGATCAGCTGATGCCGGTTACCTCATCACCAGAGTCAACGCGGCAGACGCAGACGCAGGTCAGAACTCGCGGCTTTTCTATCAGCTGCTCCAAACCACAGACCCGAGCTTGTTCAGCATTGCGCTCTACACAGGCGAGATCAGGACGATGCGCCAGATAGAGGACAAAGAGCCCAGCAGGCATCGGCTGGTCGTTTTGGTCAAGGACAATGGTCAACCTCCCCTCTCGGCCACAGTTTCCATCATCCTGTCAGTGGTTGACAGCCTGCCAGTGCTGCAGCCCGATCTGGGTGACCTGTCACAAACCCCCCATCACAGCTCCAACTTCCCATTCTACTTAATCGTGGCTCTTGGCGCGATCTCCTTCACGTCCCTGCTGGCCATCATCGTCCTCGTGACAGTGAGGAGGCAGAGGGGCAGAGTGTCCAGCAAAAAGTCCAGCTTCCCCTCCATCAGCGGGTGTTGCCGCTGCGCTTCCACAACCGAGATGTCCGCCACCACCACAGAGGTCTTCAAAAAGTCCAACTTGAACGTCCGCATGTCCTCAGGCGCGCCGGGCGGCGCGGAGCCGAGTGGTGGCGGCGCGCTCCCGCAGGTGTACTGCTACAAAATGTGCCTGACGCCGGAGTCATCCAAGAGCGACTTCATGTTCCTGAAGCCCTGCAGCCAGGTGATGGCAGTCCAGCAGAACAACGCAAAAAGCACTGATTACCTCACATCTGGCTGGAGCGCGCTTGACCGGAGAGAGCTGTTCAACAACAGGGCAACCACCCCAAACGAGGTGAATGAATGAATGAATGAATGAATGAATGAATGAATGAATGAATGAATGAATGAATGAATGAATGAACATGATTTCTATATCAGGAAAATTAATTGTGAACAATTTTCTAAAACTTTAATCTCTTTCATACTATTTCTTTTGACGTCATAATTACGCCAGATGGCCACCACCATGATTTTTTAACAAGATTATACTAACTAAATAACTAACTAATTAACTAACTAACTAACTAACTAACTAACTAACTAACTTTGATACTAAATGACTTTAGGTAAATAAATAAATAAATAAATAAATAAAACAAGGAAAATCTGTCAAAATTCTGTTTCCACCATTTAATTTTAAATGTTTGGATAAAGAACAATTCAACTAATACCTTTATACATTTTCTCTATTAAGTAGAAATGGGCAGATGGTTATCATATAATATAATAAAGCATATTAAATCATAACATCAATTGTAATGTAATAATAACATAACCAGCCATTCAAACGTACACCTGATTTATTTATTTATTTATGAGGCGACGGTGGCACAGGAGTTAAGTGCTCGACCCTTAATCAGAAGCTTGCAGGTTTGAGCCTTGCTCAGTCTGTCACTGTCATTGTGTCCTTGGGCAAGACACTTAACCCCCCTTGCCTGCTGGTGGTGGTCGGAGGGACTGGTGGCGCCAGTGCTTGGCAGCTTCGCCACTGTCAGTGCGCCCCAGGGCAGCTGTGGCTAAATTGTAGCTGATCTCCACCAGCGTATGAATGTGTGTGTGAATGGGTGAATGACTGATTGTGTTGTGAAGTGCCTTGGGGGGGGGGGGGGGGGGGGGGCTCTAGAAGGTGCTCTATCAAATACAGGCCATTTACCATTTACTATTTATTTGTTAACTTACTGATTTACTTACTTATCATTTGGTAAATTAACTTTAGGCTTCAAAAAGAAGTGGTTGACCAAAGGGCTAATTATTTTTACATTTAGGTTATTTCCTCTGTATCTTCATGTTTTCAGTTATTTATTTATTTATTTATTTATTTATTTATTTATTGTTACTGTTAAAAGATCTTGGTTCAGTGAACCCATCTTGAACCTTGACCCTTCTCAGTCTGACTTAGATATTCTGAGCAAGTAAATCTAGCTCTTTTACTCATAACCTGAAGTGGTGCACACATAGAAGTCCAATACATTTATGATACCCATCTTGTTTCCAATAATTGGGTTGCTTGAACAACAGGTGAGACATCTACAAAGTGAAAGTGCTCTAAGAAGGAGAGGTTAGGACTCACTGACTGCAGCTCTCATGGTCTTCCACATCTTCAGAGATCACAGTTACACATAACACAGTTGTGAGAATTGTAATTTATGCTAAAGGGACAAAAATAAACTCAGACTTACACAAATTCACTAGTTTTACATAGTTTCTGGACATAGATGGCTTTAGATCTTCATATCACAGAAAGTTGTTAATGAAATCTTGGTTTCCAAATGATTAGAAATTCAGGGATGGAAATGGAGAAACAGAAAATAATAAGGGAACTGAAAAGGATAAATAAATGCACAAAAAATCTATAAAGACAAGTTAAACAGCATAATTTATACATTGAAAATGTGAATATTTTGAATAAATGTGTCAAAAAATGAGAACAGAACATTTGCATAAAGTATGACTTTCATTGTTTTCTTCTTTGAAGTTACATTTTTAGTATTGTTCTTTTTTGTGGGACTCCTGTCACTATTTAGGACCTTGGCATGAAGCAGTGCAGTCTGTTTTTGTTTATTTTTTTTTTTATTTTGCTGAATACCTTTTAATTTTTTTGTTTTAGCTGAACTATTCAAACAAGAACCTGACTTGGACCAAGAACCAGCGCAACTCTGCTTACAAAAGGTATAATCCCTTCAGAGACACAAACCCGCACTGCATGAACTTTTACATCTAAACAAATATCCTTTCCTAATTTAGATATAGTTCATCAAATATGGAGGGAAGTCTGTCCCGGCACCAGAAACGTGAAACGGATGGTTTTTCCTACTCAGTGGCTCCACAGTACTGGACCTGGGGAAATCATGGTAGGTGAAATTTTGGTTCAATGTTGTTGATGGAAAAAAAGTGTTTGAATAAAAGGATTTTTTAAAACTGTACCAGAGAATTTGGGACAGGGATATGAAAACCCAATGATACCAGACCCCCAAATGATGAAGGAATTATCATCAATATGAGGATTATTTAAGTCGCCACCCAAGAAGCGCTACTTGCATTTGCAAATCGGTGCTTTTAAAGTCACAGTATCCACATCCAGCATTGCGTTTTTCCATATAAGCTTATTTCATGAAAAGTGTCCTGATATATGTTAATTTATGCACATTTTTACAGATTATAAGAGGCCTCCTCAGGATGAGGTGGTTCCTGACTACTCATGGACTCCAAAGTACACCCAGCCTCAGTCTGAGGCAGCAGATTATCAACACAACGTGTTCATTCCCGGCACCACGTCTGGATACAGCACGCTGAAGCTGACACCCAGAGGAGAGCTGGATGTTTACAATACCTTCTCCACATTTGGGAAGAAAAACAAATTCATCTCAAACTATGAACAGTCCTTTGATAATGACGATTTTATGAAAAATTCCGTTTTTAAATGAAAGGCCAGCAGCTCATTGTATTTAGCTGTCTGAGGTAACATTCAGCACACTGACCTTTACTGGAAACTTTATTTAGCTTTATCTATGGGGTGCCGATTAAAAAACAAACTGCTACATTTTGTATGATTAAGCTTCTCACAACAATAAGAACAGGGTCAAATAACTTTTAATTACAACAGTTTACCAAAATATTCAAACATAAATCAAATTATTAACTTAAACAAATATTTAGAATCAAATATAATAATATGAAGCTACATCTAAATATTTAGAATCACTTCTATATTCATTAGTTTTATCTAAATGTTCAAATGTGGTAATTTTTTAAACTAAATGTTTGGCTAACAGGCTCTGTCCCAATACTTGCTCTTTTACCCTTGCACCCCTCAATTACACATTCCCGTCCAGGGGTGTGAGTACGTTAGGTATCCTGATTCTCAAGTGTAGACCTTGACCATGCCCTCTTTGAACCCTTGATACACACTTTGCTGAAGTTTGCATTGATTTGGACAGCAATGAAAGGTATTACCCACAATTCATTGTTTCAATGGAATTTAGATAAGAAAGCTGAAAGCATTTTTACCAAAAATGAAAGAAGTAAATTTTAAAATGATTAATGATATTTATCAATGCTCAGAGTTTCTGAGACTTAATGTGGACAGCAATGAATGCAAATCATGTCATGTCAAATAGTTTGTTAATAGCGATTAAAAAACTTGCAGAAACATCAACCGGCATCCTGGCATGCGTCGCAGTTGATGACGCAATGCTGACTGTCCCAGTTTGACAATCATTTGCACACTTGTGTACTTTGTACTGGAAGCCTTACTGCACACCTCATCCAAGTGAACTTTACTGAGGAGCGCAGGGTACAGTGTGAATATTGGAACACAGACAAGGAAGTTGCCTATCAAAATAAAATTTCTTCTACTTATCATGTCAGAATCTTTTTAATGGTAAGACTGTGACTCTTTGCAAACGTAAATCAATTGGAAGTGTTTAAGGAGGTCCTTCACTCTTATTTTTAATACATTTACAGTGGTCTCTAGTACTGCGATGGACTGGCTCTCTGTCCAGGGTGTACCCCGCCTGATTGCCCATTGACCGCACCAGGCAGGCACCCTACCTACCCTACGTGGACAAAGCGGGTTCAGACAATGGATGGATGGATGGATGGATGGATGGATGGATGGATGGATGGATGGATGGTCTCTAGTAGGAATGAAAGCCTCACAGGCCGTACTCTGGTCAGGTGTTTTAAATTCTAGAGTTTCACGTTTATTTATTTCCTATCAAAAGCTAATGCATGGAATGTGTATAGGACACAATTTTCACATTCAGCCTGCATGTTAAATTCAGAGTTACTGACAATTTTAAAAAATAACAGGTAAAAAACTATTTCTCAAATAAGGATCTCTTAAGGTCTGGGTTCTCCCACATTGAAAAACAATCTTTTGTTGAATGAGTCGACACCGTGTAATCATCAAAAGGACTCCAAGATGTTATACCATCTCTTCACCATGCTTTATGTTGGCAAACTTTAAATTTACATTGGTGAAATATTGAGGTAAAAATGCCACTTATATTTAGATTTCAAATTTGAAATGCAGCTTTATAAATTTAGATTTGATTTTAAATATTTAGATGCATTTTCTATGTATAGATCTACTTCCAGAAACTTTTATTTAACTTAATATATTTAGATTTGATTCAATTATTTATTTTTAAAATGGTCTGATACAAAATGTGGTAAACAATGTTTTAAACATTGGATTGTTTGCATAATACTTTTAAAATTGGTGCCCCATATAATGTGTTGCATATAGTTCTGAATAGTCTGTGAATCTAAAACTGGGCATTCCTGAAATATTTTATAAATATTCCTCATGCACTGACTTTGCATTTACGTTAAAAGGAAATGACTAATGTCAGCAGAAACTGCTGTTTCTCTGACATGTTGACTACAGTGTGCTAATGTTGAACCTATCAAATATGTAAATATTAACATAAAAAAGGGGTTTTACCCAGTGTAAATAAATAAGATGTATTCCGCAAAATGACACAAACTACACAAATTATACTGTAATCTAATATTTATTTTAAAATGTTACAGTAACTTTACCATCTTTTCTGCATGGTTTTTTTTCATTACTTACTGTAAATTATTTACAAAAAGCATTTTGATTAGTTGCATTTACTTTTGTATGTAAAGCAAGAAAAAGAACACAGTATTGTTCAAACAGCTTATTAAGATTTCTTATATCTGACATATTTTTTTAAATGTTTAACAATGTTTTTCTTCCAATCATTCATTTTATTAACAGATATCCTTTGGAGCAATTAAACATTGAAAAGTTATTTTAACGCCAGCCACGTGTCGAGCACTCTTTGCAATTACTCTTTGTGTCTTCACTCATTTAACTTAATTTAATTAAATTTCATTTGATTTAATGACATTTTAAATACATATTCAGATTTGGCCCTTTTCCACATGTTCAATGACACTGACACATTAAAAGAAAGACATGTTTAGGAATAAAAACACAACTGCAGATAATTTTTACTAAAATGTGTGGCCGTAGAACAAAATTAGTTTATTTTTATTAAGGTTGGTTAGTTGCTGCTATTTAGACTACTTTAATTTTATTACAGTGTTAATCATTACTTACGGTGTGTCTTGTCAATAAATAACTACATGGTTTGTTCAATGAGACTGAGTTTTCTGTATATAAATTGGTTTACGTACAGTATAGTATCAATAAATCATCCAACATTTTATTTTGCTTTGTTGTTCTCGTACTTAACATCTGAGATTGTTCAGCATGACCAAAGTGTAACGTGATGAAGGAGCTATTCCTCCAATGTTATTTACCCTTTTTCCACAGTTGCTTTTGACACAGCGCCAGAGTGCATGAAACAGCCTCAAGGTCATGCATTTGCTTCTAAACTGTTTACTTTCCAGCAATGAAGACAGAAGATGAAGAGACTGTTTTCTTTTATTAAATCAAAGAACTCTATTTTCAATAAAGCTAATCAAAACAACTGTCAGTCAATAATACAATGTGACCGATCTGTGAAATCACAATGTTATGATTAATATGATTTTAATAAGTAATATGACTTAATCTAGTTCACTAGACACACTGACACACGCTAAGGTAAACAGTCGCATGACACATTGCTGTTGATGATCCAATCAGAACCTTCCTAGACTGAAGCGTGGCATAGTCTCTGTGGTGTTTATAAATCTGCCAGCTTTGATTCGTCCAGAATCAAAAACATCCAGATTAATAAAACAGTTCCAACGCCATCTTAAGTTCAGTTCTCAAGATCCCATGAAGTTCACCGCATGCTAAGTGACGCATCGGACCGGCCATTCTGTACTTCTCTATTTAAGCTGAGAACCATCAAGCTGGGAAAATTCTGTTGTTTTTACCAACCAAGCAACGGTACCTTTCAGAATAAAAGCTGAACTCGCTGACCCAAGGAGGGTCCCTTTTGATGCTGTGAACCACCTTTCGCTTTTTACCTGGAGACTATCCAAGGACTAGTTTGTCATGCTGTGACGCTGTACCATTGGCTCCAGTACCGAAAGGAAGGTCCGTGGACCTGACATTCTGGATACATCATTGGAGGTCTCACTGAGGGTATGTGGATGCGACAAAATGGGGTCTCATGTGTTTATGACTACCAGTCTCAAACTCTGATCAGCTAGGAGCAAAACAGCATCTTCCACTCAGACTTTGTCTCTCCGGATACGAGGGTTCTGAATGACACTCATTCACACACACCATCCATCTCACACCTCATTCAAACACAGCATCCATCATTAGCAGAGTTAGTCTTGTTTCAATTGTTTAAAATTATTTAGTAATAAACCATCTTAAACATTTGAAGGCCTCTCTCTCTTCTCTTGTCTCTCAGTTAATACGGAGTGTTATCTAAATCCCTGCTTTAAAAAGTTCCAATCTTCTGATTAAATAAACCAGTGGTCCACAAGATGGATTTCATACTAGATATGACATTTTAATGTGGTCCTTAATTAAATGTAAATTAATAATGTTACAAAAGTTCATTCAAACACAGCATCCATCATTAGCAGAGTTAGTCTTGTTTCAATTGTTTAAAATTATTTAGTATATATATATATATATTTAGTATATATATATACATATATATATATATATATATATATATATATATATATATATATATATATATATATATATATGTGTGTGTGTTTATATATATGTATATATATATATATATATATATATATATATATATATATATATATATATGTTTATCTGGATGTTTGCCTTGCACTTCTTTTACTCTGAGCACAATAGAATAGAATAGACTTTATTGATCCACAGTGGGGAAATTCCCTTGTTACAGCAGCACCGACATTAGAGGGAATAATTTGAAGAAAAATAAAAACAACGGTGCATGTATTTATACCAACGTTTATGCCAACGTGGTATGCAACATCTCGAGTGGATGACATCAAGAGCTGGGGAAAGCCTTGGTGACTCCTGGTATTCAATGTCACCAGCATATTTCCTGCACACCAGCCTCTGCAAGTTTGGTTAGGAGTGTGCAAACCCCAGCTGCTGCCCTGGCGTCTCTCCCCCAACATGGAAATGGACAGATAAGGAAGCGCTGTGAGCTCTGTGCCCCTAGAGACAACAAAACAAGCCTGAGATGCTATGTGATGCCTATGTTTGCAAGGCCCATTCTGACCTGAGTGCCATGCACAATGTCAATGCACACACACACACACACACACACACACACACACACACACACACACACACACACACACACACACACACACACACACACACACACACACACACACACACACACACACACACACACACACACACACACACACAGACACACACACACACACACACACACACAAGACCATGTTGAGTTTAGTCTCCATTTTTCCATTTCATTTTAACTTTCCTGTTTCATTTTGTTCTACATTTTCAGGGCCTAATTGTATTTTCGCTGCAGTAAAGTTTTGTCTAACTCTATAAATCTATGTTAAACACTAGTTTAACACAGTGTTCACAGCTGTAGCAATGTTGAATAAAAATGTGATGGTGAAAAATGGTTTTGTGCTAATTTAAGAGCAGTTAAAACAGTCCAGTCAATTTTGACCAGGAACACTAAAGAAAGGGGAGGGAGGTGAATGCAACAGGATGGCTCATAGTGTTCATTGGCTTTTCATTTGTTCGTGGTCTTTTCCGATTAGATTTTTTTTTCCACCAGATCAGGGCAAGGGATTTGATCATTTCCCTTTCTGTGATTTGTTTTTCTTCACATGAAAATAAACATTTTAGAAAAATGGAACATTAGTAGAAAAACTTTTGTTTTTTAACACAATAAAACCTTAGTGGTGAGTTTTTAAAGTGAGGGTCAAGGCCTGGGTGGAGACGTATTTCATCCACCCTTCCTGTTAGGAAAATGTTTCTGAAAGAGGCGTCTCCTGGCGGACCGACAGAGCGGCACTGAGGCACCCATGATTATTAGATGAAACGGGGAGGAGAACATTGTTTTCAAGGAGGCGAGCGGCTCAGAGAGCCAGCGTGTCATATCGGCAGGTGAGTGGCTGAGCCAGGTGGAGGTGCGGCTGCCTCACCTGAAGACCAGAGTGGTGCAGCTACGTAGTAATTTGCTGATAATGTCACATTTTTCAGCATAGCCATCAGCTGGTTCTACATAAATGTGGAGCAGATTTTTTAACCTGATGGTGGAGATATAATTATGGTTTTGGGCTGAAATATTCAATTTAGAGTAAGTTGCACTAAAGTGTCACACTAATGAATACACATGTGTACAGCATCATTAGACACGCATATATACAGGTTATCAGCAAAAAATAAATAACAAAAAGTTAATTTAGAGCGTTACTTGCTCTTTAACAAATTAAATGAGTGACATACAGGTTCAATCAGGTTTAGTAATTAATACACTATATGAATTTAATTTCATAATGAGGATTATTAGTTATATTGTAAATCTCAGCTCTGGTTCTGTATCTGTTAAATCCACTCTATAGAGTTGAGGTTGCTTGTACTGAGGTTTTTGAGCTCATCTAACAACTACTGTAAGCACCTGCTTGTCTGCTTCAGACCTGTTCCCTTACCAGAAGATTTCTGCACACTTTCTACCACACATGAATACTGTGTCAGCGTTCATCTGCCTCATCTTGCTCCCAATAATTTATAATCCCAGTTTTCCTGCAGTGTCCACTAGAGAGCAGCATTACACAACAGAAACAGACTCATGGTGAGGACCTTGCAGAGACACACAGGACAAACAATCATGCACACACACACTCACACAATACAGACCAATCAATCTAACAGTCATGTTTTTGGACTGTGGGAGGAAGCCGGAGTACCCGGAGAGAATCCACGCAACCCACGCATGCACAGGGAGAACATGCAAACTCCATGCAGAAAGATCCCAGGTCGGGAAGCGAACGCAGGACCTTCTTGTTACAAGGCAACAGCTCTAACCACTGCGTCACTGCGTAACCTTAACAAAAGTATCATTTTAATATTATTGTTTAAAAATGCACCCTTTATAGAAGCCTTACGGGGATATCAACATCACCAGTGATATGAGCGATATGAGCTGGGTGATTCCTGATGAGAGTCAGCTGCATAGAGTGAAGCCAGGGAGCTGGGCGCTCTCCAAGGTCCTGAAAATGGTGCAGGAATAAGGGTGCGGAGTAGAAGCTGAGTGCTGGAGAACTCAGGGTCCGTAACAATCACAATGTGTGATAAAAATCAACTGACTGCATCAACTAGGTAGACAATGTTGTTTTCATCCCAAGTTTGCTGTGCAAATTGCTGACCCCTGTGGTATTTTACAATTTAAAATATGTTTTTAGTAAATGAAAAATTATTTGAACTTGTGTCTCATATGAAAAAGCAGAATGAAAAGAGATTTAAAAAATAAAAGGGCTCAATTTATACATTATAATAATAATAATAATTATTATTATTATTATTATTACTTTTTTAATTGTTATTATTATTGTTGTTGTTGGCACTGTTTGTAATATTGCCACTATCACTAACCAAGCCTGTGAGATGATGATAATGGTGATTTTTTTCAGTGTTAAATAAGACCTTAAATACATTTCAACCACAACTATTATTGTTGTTGTTGTTGTTGATATTATTATTACTATAGTAAAACTAGTCAAATTTTCTGGTTTAGTGCTGTCAATCCAGGCACCATTTAAATTTGTTGTCCCAGCCCCAACCAGCCCAGCTGCTATCACCGCCCCTGCTCCCTGTGAGACACCGCTCCACTCCTCCAGCGCTCTCCTCAGATGGCCTGCTGCAGTTCCAAGTTGTGGAGAGGAGAATGACACCAGCAATCCCTCCCATCAAGACAGCCTGATCGTAAGGGCGGATTTGTCACTTCTCTTTTATTTTTTAACCATCGCAATAATGGCGCTTAAATGTGCATCTGTTTTTACGTTCATCGCGCTGTGGGGATTTGCGCTCTCCATCACTCGGTACTCTGTGCCAGAGGAGATGGAAGCGGGCTCCTTTGTTGCAAATCTGGCCGCAGATTTGAGTCTGGATATTCGCAGTTTGGAGGAGCGCAATGCAAAGCTCGATGTCGTCCACAGTAAAAATTACCTCGACATCAACAAAGACACGGGAGAGCTGATAATCCGTGAAAAGATAGACAGGGAGAGCATATGCGTGACTAAAACAACCTCGTGCTTTCTGAAAATGGATGTCATACTTTCAAATCCGGTTCGCATATTCAACATCGAGCTGGAAATCATGGACATTAATGACAACGCGCCCGTGTTTCGCAGAAAGGCGATGCATTTGGACGTGTCAGAGGCAACCCCTCCTGGTGAAAGGTTCTCCTTGACTAACGCCGTGGATGCGGATGTGGGGGCGAATTCAGTGAAGACCTACTATCTGAGTGAGAGCAAATACTTTAGCATTGACATACAAACTGGCAGCGACGGCTCAAAATATGTAGATTTGGTGCTTAATGTTAATTTGGACCGAGAGGAGCATGCGGTTCATAATTTGATCCTCACAGCTGTGGATGGAGGGGTGCCTCCCCGATCTGGTACAGCCAGCATCATCATTAATGTCTTGGATATCAACGACAACGCCCCCTTGTTCAGCCAGTCTGTGTTTGCAGTCAATGTTTCTGAAAACTCTGCAGTAGGCTCAGTGGTTATGACCTTAAACGCAACTGATTTGGACGAAGGCACAAACGCACAGTTAATGTATTCGTATACGCTTTACACCTCAGAGAAGACCCAGGAGCTCTTCTCTCTTGATCCACATTCAGGGGAGATTAAAGTGAAAGGAGTGATTGATTATGAAGACAGTCAGAATTTCGAGATGTACATACAGGCTCAGGACAGAGGGACAAACCCCCTGTCTGGACACTGCAAAGTGATGGTCTTTGTCACAGATCTGAATGATAACTACCCCGAGGTGACTATCAAATCCTTGAAAAGGTCGTTGGCTGAAGACGTCTCTGTGAGGACGCTGATTGCAGTGGTCAGTGTCAGCGACCGAGACTCTGGAGAAAATGGAGAAGTGAAGCTCACCCTGGACCGACAAGAAACCCTGCCTTTCCTCCTTAGTAAATCCTCTGAGGGTTACTATGAGCTGCTGGTGTCAAAGCCACTGGACAGAGAACTAATAAGCAAATATGACATCACACTAATAGTGACAGACCGAGGCTTACCACCCTTATCTGAGAATGAGACCATCACTTTAGAGATCTTAGACGTTAACGACAATGCACCCATGTTCTCTCAGTCCTTCTACACCATCCATGTTGTGGAGAACAATCCACCTGGGGCATTGTTGACATCTCTAAGTGCACTTGACCCAGATCTCAACGAGAACCAGTACTTGGTTTATTTCATAATGGAAAAAGAGATTGTCAACACATCTATGTCCATGCTTTTCTCGATCAATCCTGAGAATGGAGACCTCTATGCTTTGAAGACCTTTGACTATGAGAGAGAGAGGGAATTCCTTTTCCACATTGAGGCAAGAGACTCTGGAGTTCCCCCGCTGAGCAGCAATGTGACCGTTCATATCGTCATTCAGGACCAGAATGATAACACTCCTTCTATTGTGTCACCTTGGCGGGTGCATGGGTCAGTCGTGGAGGAGGTGATACCTAGATCTACAGAAAAAGGACACCTGGTGGCCAAAGTAGTCGCCATTGATGCAGACTCTGAACAGAACGCCAGGGTTACATACCAGCTCCTGCAGATCAGCGACTCTACACTCTTCAGCCTGGACCAGTACAATGGTGAGATTCGAACAACAAGGATGTTTAGTCACAGAGATCCAAGACAACAAAGATTGGTGGTTGTCGCCAAAGACAATGGTGAACCTGCTCTGTCTGCCACCGTTACCATTAAGATATCAACGGTGGAACACTCAATGACCTTCCTAGAGACTACCGAGTTACCACTAGAATATGAGGTCTTTACAAACCTAAACCTATACTTGGTGATCGGTTTAGGAGCAGTCTCCTTTTTGCTGCTGATAACCATTTTGGTTATTATTGTCCTCAAGTGTCAAAAACCAAAGCCAAAGGCGATCAAGATCCCCCCAGCCAATAGAAACAGCATGATCAGCCAGAGGAGCTCCACCATAGCTGATTCCACCTTGATCTCCAGTGATGCCTACTGGTACAGCCTGTTCCTCGCAGAAACCAGGAAGGGTAAAGTGGTCATGAGACAACCCATAATTCCCAAAGGAGCTGGCTACTTTGTGTCCAGTATACCCAGGAGCATAGGCCCAAGTGAGACAACAGACTCCAGAGCATCCACACTGGAGGTATGTTGCTATGCTATCTCTGGTAATAATGAATCATGTTTAGATTGAAGAAATCATAAATTACAATTCTGTGACAGACATTTTATGGTCAATATATGTGTTGTAGCTGATGATTCCCTTTTTTTATTTCTTAACTTTAGTTGTGTTCCTATTAACTTCCATTTAGTTTCTTTCTCAACCTTCAAACATTTTATTGCATTTCAACATTATACTTTCAACTTTAACCATGATATTTCAATTTTATTTCTGTCGTTTCTCACTCTTTAAGCTTTAATCGAAACATCTTATTTATTGAATCTGCTCAAACACAAAAAAGGTGGTTCAAATAGCGCAAGGCATTGTTTTCACAAATTAATTGGACATCATCATCATCATCATCATCATCATCATCATCACCACCATTAAAGATGAGCTAGAGAAGAGATTTCATAAATCAAACTCTGCAATTCTATTCCATAATTAGGCAGAAATCCCCAGCCCACCATCCCCCTCCCCTCCCAAATCTGCCTCTGTTTGATGTCTTATGTAGTATGTAGGTCATGTATTGCAGATACATAACACACAAGCATAGCATAACCAGTAGGCGTAAGGGGAGGGTGGCGGTGATAGGGGGTAGCACTACAAAGAAACCCAGATCTGGAGGAGTTCTCTTCAAGGATGGGAGTTAATCTAGCTGCTGTAAATAAGGTTTTCTGAATCTCAGGCAGCTCTCTGGTGCACGGTAAACCATCGTTGGTGTGTAAGCTTTGAAAACTCTCCAGATGTTGTTTGCTTTTCTCGCAGGTGGTCCAACAATGTAAACAAACCCAACCGATGCTCTGAAACAATATAAATATTTATGCACAGGTGCACATGGAGGCAGGAAGCTAATGTCTGATGTGTTTAAAGTGTGTTTGACTCTCACATATTTCACTGAACTTGTTTCTCTTTTTGTCTGTTTTGAAGTTCTCAAAATGAAAGAAAGTTCATTCTGCAGTTGGAGGTATGCTGGTTACTAACTAATGCTTTTGCTCACTTAAACCTGGTTCACACCGCATGTGGAACACGCGCGGTCCGGTTTTTGCACGGCTTCTGCATGGATCACAAAAGATTTCTGCATGGAGTGTGTTTTTCCAGACGCAGATTTTCATGAATTGAAAAAAGTTGCAATGACAGACAGGAAATAGACGTGGTTACACTGGGTGCATCCAGTATATTTCAAAATAAAATTTGAATTGCATTATTTTTCTGGTTTTTGTTTTATTATTAATGACAACTTTATCAGTTTGCAGCATATGATAGTTCACTGTATTTTTGCAGGTATATCTTTAAAGAGACAATGTGTAGTTTTCCAGGCAATAGGGGGCAGTACATATCTAAATAACTGCAAGCAATCAGTATTTTTGTGTTCGAGTAAGACAATTCCAACAGATGGCCATTAGGGTCAAAAATCCCAGGGAGTGCAACCTCCAGCACAGTGATGAGCACATCAGACTCCCTTTCATCACTGGCAACGAGTGAAGAGGTAACGTTAAAGGCCCAATGTGTGATATTTCATCTTATAAGTTATCAAATTTCTTGTATCACATTCTCAAATTTGTTTTTTTTTTTCAATGATAATTCAAACAAGCACTTATTCTAAGCATTATTATTAGCTTTATATTTTAATATTTTAGACAAAAGAAGCAGACCGGTGCTCCATATGGCATGCGCCATCTTAAAATACAGTGACCTTTTAGGGACATACAACATATTAAGCTTCGCATTTGATGTTTGCGTTTTTAAATGATGTAACCTCAAAGAAACAGCAGGGGGCAGAAGTGCGCCTTGTAAGCATGCAGTCTGACAAAGTAACTAAGAAGAAGAAGAAACTAGCCACACCGTACTTCTAGCGATGGAGGATCACACATATTCTTCAAGCAAACTTGAGAAACGGGATAGTTTGTCTCATCCAAGTAAAAGAAAAAGGATTTTGAAAAGTGAACAAGACCGGCGTCATGAGAAAACCAGAGTAAATATAGGAGCAAATATACGTTGCGGCTGGTTTGAGCAAATTCGGCTCCTTCATCTTGGGATGCTTGCCCTGCTTCTGTCGCATGTCTAACACCTCTGCCTCTCTGTGCGCTGGCACACGTCTGTCCTCTCCCTCTCCCTCTTCCTCTCCCTCGTCCTCTGTCTGTCTCCACTGATGAACCATCGGATGATATCTGACTCTGTTTACGGAGAGAAAACAATTACAGACTACACTACCTTGTATATTTCCAAAATGGCAAATAGAAATATAACATTTCTCAAATAAAATGAACAAAATATTGTCATTTTTTGTAGTCAGAAGTCATCACTAACTAGCTGCCGTTTGCTATTAGCAAACATAACTGACATAAAAAAGTTTTTCTTATTCAAAACCTATTTAGATTAAATTAATAAAATAAGTTAGATGAAAACAACTAACCTGTTCGCTGACTTGAAAGCTGGAATTAGATGATGACATGCTGCCATTTACAGCAACACGATTTTGTATTGTATTTGTTATATTTGTTAATAAAGTTTTAAATAATGATTAAAAAAAACCTTTTTGATCCTCGGGGGCTCCAATAGCTGCAATACCGACTCTAAACTGCGTGGTGCTAAAGAGTCGGATCTTTTTACTATGATTTCTGTGAATTTCACACACGGGGCCTTTAATGAATGGTGAAAGTTTTATAACTGCTTGTTATAAATCAGTAAATGCATTTTGTCGTCATGGGCTTCTGTAGAAATATGGCATCTAATATGGTGTCGCAACACATTCTCACACCCGAAGCATTGAATAATGATGATGGGTGACCAAGCGTTTGATTCCGACGCGTTGGGGCTGCCAATGTCTCGACAGGCGACGCGCTGTGCCAGAGCATCGTTTTCCGACTGCTGCGGTAAAACGGAGATTTCAGCTAATTTTGACCTTTACTCTTTTGCTATTTAACCTTCCCCTCACCCCCATCCTAACCTTAACCCTCTTGCGCATGCAAAACTTTGTTTCTAGTCGTAACGTCCCTCTGAAACACTGTTAACGGGAAGTTTAGAATGAGAAACTGGGTTAAGGTTAGAATGTGGGTGAAGTGAAGGTTAAATAACGAGGTTAGAGGTTAAATGTCAGTTAAATGTGCGTTTTACCACAAACGTTGGAAACCAATGCTCTGGCAGAGTGCATCGCCTCCCGACGCATTGAAAACAAATACTTGGTCATTCATCGTCATTTTTCGATGCTTCGGGTGTGAGAATGTGTTGGGTATCGCCCAGGCCCTTAGACCCGCTCCCATTTATTTTAGACCAGACTTTTATGGTTATATGTTACAAAGTCGCCAATATTTTTCAGCAACTGGGCATCATTTAATTAATTTTCAAAAACATTTTGGTGAATATTTCCAGAGTAACGGTAAAAACTACACATTGTCACTTTAAACTGTGAAAATTCCAAACATTTGGTGCTCTTGGGAGAGCAAATTTCCAGAGACGTTGAGCACACGAACCACAGTCAGTGTGAATGGCAATCCGTCCGGAAGTCGTACGGAAACCGGAATGCACCATTCCCCATTTGGTATTAGGGAGGCTTTAGACTCAGGACTTTTTCTGCACTCTGTTTGGGATTTCCTCGATTAAATGGATCAAATATTTGTTTGTGGTCAGACTCAAAATCTGCTCCAATCCAGTGCTATCAGCATTAACACTGAAACTGGCCGCACTCTCAACCCATGAGCCTATATTGAGAGCTGAGATTAGAATAAAATGGCTGCTGGTCAGACTTTTTTTTATGTTGCATGCATAGGTTGATAAAGATTCAGGTTAAAGTAGTGGCACTGACCGAAAAACAAGCTTAGGGCTTTAATCCAATCAGATCCCAAATAGGTTAGATATGGATCAGCTTTGCATACAATACCTGCTAGAAACCATTTTAGATTGATGGAAATATGCAAGAAAGCTTATTTTCTATCTGGAGTTTCAAATTTTAAACAACGTCCATGTATTAGTGTTGTAGTATGTCTCCTTTTGCATGCTTCAGCCACACATTTTACATCCCAGGTAGGTGTTTTAGTCTGATTGTGTTGATATTCTGGTGAAAAGTGTCAATTGAAATGATTGTTTAAACATAAAAGCGAGTTATAGATTTTCCTTTAATTTAAATTACCCCAAAATACAGTATTGGGTCACTGATAGTGGCAGTAACCAGTCACAATCCACTGTTGCATGAATGAGGAGTTTCTGTATTTTCTAACTATGGAAAAATTGCACTTGTGACTAATTTCAGGTTTTGTCTCCTTCAGCAGGAGCCCAGGAAAGGTCTGCAGTGATCTTATCAACTCTTCACAGCACAAAACTTCCCTGTGACTCATAAAGATAATGTAAAACAGCCATCCTTCTGAATTCCCTCTGCTTCACTTCCGGATTTTTATTCTTTTCATCAATCTTTGTTATTTTTATGTTTTGTTTCCCCCCACAACTCTCATGAATCCCCCAACGGTTGGACAACAAGTCTCATAGCAGGATATCAGGACATCACAGAAGATGCCTCATGTAGTAAATCAGTTGTGTCTTTTCTCTTTTAAACTTCTTAAATTTGCCTTCACTCCAGGGATTACAGTGTGTGCTATTGTTGTAGACGCCATCAGTATTCCACAATGTAAATACGTTTTCAGAATAATAATAATTTTGTCTTTTTAATGCAGAAGTTGAAAACACGCCTAACACAAAGGTCTGAATCAGGGTCACTTAGTCTCTTCCATAAATTCATAATTGTAACGAGTTATTAAGGCCTGGCTTTTAGTGTCTATTTTTTAGATTTATATCAAGATTGTTTTGAATTTATTGCAAAAAAACAACGATGATTCAGTTTTAGATTTTTTGTTTGTTTGTTCTGCTCAAGAAATTTGAATGTCTAAAAAAATGACTAAAAAGAATGAAAGAAAGCGTTTAAATATAAAAAAAATGTCTTCTTAATTGATTGTAGGTGCAGTAGTTCTATAGAAATCACAAAGAAGTAATAGAAAATAAAAGGTTTAATTAATAATACATGTGCAATTCATTCCTTATAGTACTTGATACACACGAGTTGCACTACAAGATTTTAAATCAAGTCAATATCTGTTAAATATTCATATACAATCAGCTTTTCTCCTATGTAGGAGGTGTACGCAAGGTGCTGATTAAAATAAAAATAGCATTTGAATCAAAAAAAAGTTTAACAATAAAGATCGTGTTTAATGCCAAAACAGAAAATATGAAAATGTATTTATCTTTGCTTGGAAGATATATGAGGAATAGAAAGTCCACCCTCCTTCAGTTTTAAGGTTCTATGTATCTGAACATAGTGAGAATGATCTGATCATTACGGGGTACTAAGATTATTCAAATTTAACCTTAAGTATACGAAACACCAGATTCCACATGATGCAGCAGCTTGTTGAACCTCCTCACAGCAATAACTTAGGGTAGTTGTTTCTAGTTTGGCTTTTTCAGTCACATGGTTGCTTTAGTTCCTTTGAGGAGAAAATGCATAGATGGGTAAGGTCCCAAAATAGCTTTTTGGTGAGGTTGAAGGAGAACTGGATCATTGCAACGTTTTGAGTCTTGTCTTTTGAATCCGTTCTATTTGGATTTTCTACTGAACATTGATCTGCTTTATGACCCGGTTTGGTCTTTGCTTTGTTCTGTTTGACAGACAGCCTCACGCTGGAGTTTAGAAGGCTTGTTCAGTGGTTTTTGCAGATTCTCCGAGCGATGCACAGTCTAACCTTGAGGTGAACTTGTTTGGACATTCACTCTTGGGGGAGACTAACACTTCTCTTACATGTTTTTTTTTTCTTTTTCCAAATTGCTTGGGATTAACTCTTTAAAACATCTCAGATCGAGAAACTGTTGATTATTTTAAGTCATTTCTTATGCATTTCCTTCTTGGTATTGTGTTAACGCACACTTGTATGCTCCAGACCGGTAAAATCTTTCATCTAAAAAGATGCTAATACTTGCTGATGATTAATCAGTCAATCAAAGGTTCTTAATTAGCTGAGCCTGTGAGCCAACCTATACATGTAAATATACAGTCTGGCCACGACCCAAAGACGGAGTTCAGTCATGGCCAGGTGCAAAATCTACGATTAACTTCAAACTGGTTTCTGTATGCGGTTGGACAGCACTAGGATCAATAAGAGCAATGAACAATTTGATGTATTAATAGCAACAGAAATCAGTCAACAGGGCAGTTTGTCATACACCATAGAAAAATACTGCATACGTTTTGAAATAAAGGACATAAGTCTCCTAAATGTCTCAAATAAAGCCCACGTCTAAAGTCAGTGCTAAAGCCGTTTCAAACACACACACTTTCTGACTCGCCACCATCTTTGTTGTTTTTTTTTTCTGTCACAGTTCTGCCATCATCAGAAAGCTCTGCTAATATTAGTGCTAAGCCCTACCAGCTTCTCTACAAACAGAGCACTGTGATAGGTTAACGCTTAGCCGTGCCAGTGGTAGACCTGCCGAGGCTACAATGGGGCGTGGCTAGACCGACCTGCAGAACAAAATCGTTTTCTACTGCTACGGTCTGTCTAGATTCCTAGCTACCTGGGAGTTACTTTTCTTCTTGAATGTTATGCAAAAAAGGTTTATATTAGTTTTGTACTAAGGTTGAAGTATATGTATGTGCACAGGACTGTCATGGTACAGGTTTAGGGTACAGGTGCCAGCATCCGGATAAAGACCATGATATTGCAGGCAATTAAGTGGAGTTTGATGTGTGAAAATCCTAAAGTGTCAAAAGTCCATGCACTTTGAAACACACACTGGTGATTAACGACTGTATCAAACTTTTAAAGTGTGTTCTGAACTTGATTCTTTGCTCTTGTGCTAAAATCAAACATAATCTACAATCCAAATCCAAGTAAACCATGATGTAAGCATACTGTTACACCTCTGTTTTAGACACATTAGTTTACTGTTCAAGTATTAGCATGATGACAAATGTCAATACTTTTAGATTAACCCTTTGATGCATAATGGCCACTACAGTGGACAGGTATTCAAAATTGTTATTTATTTATTTTTGCTATTAAGCACAGCAGTTGAAGACTTTATTGCATTTGAGCCCCTCCATTTGGACTTCAGTAAGTCAGGCCGACATATTTCATGTTCAGAATGCACGCTGCCCACTGAAGTGGACATGTAATAAACTATGTGTAAATTAAATGTTACAAAAAATATGTAAATATGAAATTTGTTTCATTCACACCTAAAGATGGATGAAAAAAATGTATAAAAAATCATGGTTGAAGATTTCATAATTCATGCATCAAAGGGTTAAATTTAATCACTTTAGGTCATTCCATTATGTCCTAAAACCTTAGAAATGAAAGAGGGTGTCCTTTTATTTCCCCCTGACTGTAGGTGCAGTCGAGGTTCTCTTTGATAAATATTCATGGTTTTTATATATGCTTTGTGTAGTAACTTTTGTGAGCTTCTTTAAGGGCATTTTGTGTTGCAGATTTGTAGTGTAGTGCATATAAAGTTGTTTTGGTAGTGTACATGAATAAAAAATGAAACAAGATTACTTTTCTTGACCTCAAAGGTAGTGCTGCTGCACTACCGTCTAGCCCAGGACTTCTCTGTAACAAGGAGCTTTTAAAGACACTCGATAGGGATGCTAAATGGTCAGATGTAACGGTGAGTGGCGTAGGAAGTTCGGACTATGATAACTCAGTGTTAATTACACCTGCAGTGTTTTTTGTGCTGACTCTGCTGATGGTGCAAAAATGTGTTTTAAACAGATGACAGCACTTAAAATTTTCGATATGCCCTGGATCTAAATGTGATCCCATCACTTTGTCACCAGTGCAGTGATGGTAGAATATTTCTGGATGGATCCAGCTCCTCCATCTGAGTCATTGAAATTGAACCTCCCTTTCCCTCCTTTTCTCTCACTGTCTCACACCAAGCTGCCCACCTATAAAAGCATCCAGCTGACTTGAAGACTTGACACGATGAGGGATCTCTTGCTGTCGAGCACATACAATATGTGTAATGATTATCAAGTTGCACATATGATGAGCTCCTTGCGTGCCTTCTGCCTTGTAAAAGATGACTGTTGACAGCTGAAATAACGGCATTTCGTATAGTTTAATAAATTTGTTTCTCCCAGAACACAGATCATGAGCTGCTGGTTGGATAGAGACTTTTAAATCCATAACACAATGAACCCGTAGATGCGTTTACTGTAAAATGAAATGCTTTATAATTTGTATTTTTTTTATATACCTTTTTAATATCTTGTGTGTTCACTGTGATCGAATGGCATGGAAGGCGCTTGTGCTCAGTGAAGAAAAAGTGTTTTTTCTCATTTCTTTTTGCAGCTACTTTGCCAATCAAACTGTACAAAACGCTTCGGTAATTGCTCTCAAGTTCCATCCCATTTAGCCGGATCAAAATTAGTATGGGTGAGAATGGTCGTGCTTTATTATCCATTCTTGGTACATCTGACAGATTTTGATGTTGCTTATTTGGTTTATTGTATCGCCTGATCATGCTACTTTGAATAAAGATTTTTAATCCGTCTCTTTGTTAAATATGTGATGAGCACAAACAGAAGTTATCAAAGTGATGTATTCAAATCCTCCCTCCTTCCATTCTTGCCTCTCAATTTCTTTGTGAAATTCACACTCTCTCACACACACGCACACACACACACACACACACACACACACACGTTTTGACCCAGTTTCTCTTTATAAATGCTCTGTGCTAATTCTTGGAAATTGACACTAAATAAAGAAGATGGGCCTGCAGTTTAAAATCACAGAAGCAGACAAATAGTAACTGTATCAGAGTTAATCCTGCATGAATCTGACTATGAATGCACCAATCCTTTTGTAAGGTACACATGTATGGAAGAAATACAGTCTCACCAGAATATGACTTTGTAGACAACACATTTATGACTTTTAATTCAATAGCAGATTTTCAACAGCAACAATTCAACAACTGAGGTGCCTTCCTGGCACCCAAGCCAAAGTAATTGTCATTCGATTGAGTCGAGTGGCTTTAACCAATCAAATTACAATTTATTTGATCATGTGACACCAGTGAGGCACCGACTCAATCGAGTGAGTGTTTTGGCTTAGGTCACCAATAAGAAAGAAAATTATCTTTTTTGTAGCACCTCTCAAGATAAAAATCACAAGGAGCTTCACATGAACAAAATATTTATAGTATTTAAAAAATGATTTTATGGTTTTGGTTAAACAGATAAAAATGTGTGATTAAAAACATAAGGAAAGGGAAAGAGGGAAATTAGTGGATCCTGGGAAAGGCATAGTTAGGAGAAAGAGATGAAAAGGAGAGGGTGGTGACAGAGGTGTGGACTTGAGTCACATGACTTGGACTCGAGTCAGACTTCAGTCATTATTTTAATAACTTCTGACTTGACTTGATAAAATCTATAAAGACTTACGACTTGACTCGGACTAGAACGCCAATGACTTGCGAATGGAATCAACTTGCCTTTGTTGACTAGATGATGACTTGAGCCCATTTGATATTTTAGCACAAAAATGGCACGACATGGACAAAAATCATAAATCATTCTTGGTTCTGGGTTTGATCTTGTTCTGCTAACTGCAGCAGCACTTTGTTTATAATCAGAAGAGTTATTTCTGAAATGTATTTATTATCATTGTCATTAAATAGAAGTTGGACACATGACTTGAATATGACTTGAGAATTCAAAGTTAAGGCATTGGACTTGACTTGGACTTCTACATTATTGACTTTGGACTTGACTTGGACTTGGTTGTCTTTGACTTGGACTTGACTCGAGACTTGACTGGAAAGACTTGTGACTTACTTGTGACTTGCAAAGCAGTGACTTGGTCACACCTCTGGGTGGTGATGAAGGTCACACCTAGGCCAGCTTGAACAACTGAGTCTTCAGCTGCTTTTTAAAGGAGACCACTGAGTCCTTGATATCAGGCTCAGGGGGAGAGAGTTCCAGAGTCTGGGGGCCACAGCAGCAAATGATCGGTCACCTTTGGTCTTTAGCCTGGTGCGCTGCACAACCAGTAGGCTTTGGTCACTGGACCTCAGGGACCTGCTGGGGGTGTAGGGACTAAGATCACCAATGTAAGATGGTACTTGTCCAAGTAAGGCCCTAAAGACATGAACCAGGATCTTGAAATGAACCCTGAAGTTA